ATGTATAGTACGACAAATTTGAAAAAGATTCTTTCCATAATTTTGGAACTACCAGCGTGTCTCGTTTCATGCGCTTGTGTAGACGTGGCAAAATCAACAAAAGTCCAGTCCGATGAAATCTTAAAAAACTCTTTGTTGACATAAAATTATATATCGTTATATATGTATCGTTCTCTCTCTCTCTCTCTCTCTCTCTCTCTATATATATATATATATATATATATATATATATATATATATATATATATATATATGTTATTTATTTAATGTCATGTCCTTTCCTCTTCAGGACGATACCAATTATGAGTGCACACAGATTCCATTTATTTATTATCAGTCAGTGACCATGGCTTCTTGGGTCTATATTGTAGTAGTTTACCGGTTTTGACTCCAGAGTTTTCCTTCTTTTAAACTGACAGTTACGTAAGTTTGGTGAAACAACTCTACCTTAATATTTAACCTGTAGCTGGAAGAGGATCAATAGGCTCATGCCTTTTCCGAAACCATTAGTGTGGAACTAAACTCAACTGGTTACTTGGTCCCTGCATACTGATTCAGTTTTCCACGTAATCGTTACGCAAACTACACCGCCAATATATGCTATACTCCATGCAGTGTTCGGTAATTGAAAGAAAGGAAACTCTATAAGACAGTATTTTCCAAAACAGATTTCAGAGTTTTCAGGTTGGTGATAAAATAAATCCCTGAAGTGAACGACTATCCAATGTCGATGATGATTCTTTAAAACTTGATGTTACAAAAGAGACCGACCAAGAGAAATCCTCGAAAAACTTTATAAAATCGAGTGTGTTTTTTGGATTCCTTTTAAGTGATTAATAAATAATACTTAAATTTATACAGAAAATACTTCTTCTATACAAGAGACTGCAAAAGATACAGTAAGTGTTACCAGTATCATATTAGTACTTCTACAATCTATTTAATACTAAAATTAATTTAATTCATTAAACACATTTTTATATTTTTATTTTCATAATTTTTATTATAATACATTTGGTATAATTTTTATTTTTTAATAAATAATAATAATAAATGTTTTGCAGGTGAAGAGGAGTTTATGAATGACGAGGACAAACAGTTTGAACATTTGAGAGATTAATATGTTTATTATTGACATGTTATTATTGATATGTTTTGGACTGGATTCTTTTATTAAAACTAAACTAAAAAGGAAACCTTTTAACATACCAGTTATTGTCCTATTGGCACTGACAGCACAAATCACGGAGGAAGATATTGAAAAATTCTAACATTCACTGGATAAAGTCAAGACTCACTGTGAATTACAAGAAATTTCTATCCTCATCATAGGGGACCTGACTAGTAAAGTGTGAAATGAATGGGAATGCAAAATAGTTGGCAAGTTCCGACTAGGAATCCGTAAAGAATGCGGTGAAAGATGGGTCTAATGGCGCGTAGCAAGCATCCAAATAATTACTAATATTTGGGTTCAAGACAATTATAGATATGGAGAAGGCCATGATGGAGACACGAAGAACCAGAATAATTATATAACTAGCAAGACATTAAAAATGCAGCTTTAAACTATAAAATATACCCAAATGCCGAATATGAAATTGACTAACCTCGAATTGTTTACTATCTCAGAGTAAAAATACTGAAATTATAGAAGACTAAAGCAACGCCTAAATGGCAATACGACAGACTCGTGAATGTCCTAAGCTGCAAGATGTATATAGTCAAAAACAAATATAATTTAAGCGAGACTAATAAGATAAAGTGGACTATTTTGAAAGAAGGACACGATACATCGGATAATTACGTCATTCCAAGGAAAAGGAGACAAGAATTTAAAAAAAAAGAATAGATTAAATATAAAACTCTAGAGAAAAGACAGAACAAACAATCCCAAGGAGTTATACAGAGTATAAAATACTAAACACAGAAATAAGAAACAAACGAATATAGGTTCAAAAGAAATGCTTCAATGAAAAGAGCATGGAAATGGAAATTATGCACTCAACAGATAAGGTAAATGTGCACAAAAGATTAAAAGAATTACCATGTTGAAATATGTACTAAGCAACAGGTTTTATGTAATTAAGTGTTCCATTCATAATAAAAAAAGAAAAACATACTCCTAATTAAGGTGAATATATTGGACAACTATCTTATGAAATAGATAAATCTGAATATTATTTGCTTATTTCATCCCAAGCAAGGGAATAAAGTCACTAAGACGCAAGGGGTTACTGAGTTTAGAGAATATGAGAAAAAAAAACTACTAATGATAGAGAACAATAAAAGAACAATAATTAAGAAGACAGAAGATAACAATTGACATTGCATTGAAATTTTTAAGGTCAAATTTGACTTGGAAGCAAGAAACCGGGAGGCAATTACACAAATGAGAAGTGCGAGAAAGGAAACTGACAGCATAGAAGTTACGGTTGCATCTATCCAAATTGATGAGACTTTGCCGCCAATCTAGTAATGCGCTTAAATTAAAAAAAAGTTTACGTATCACAGCGGACAGTTCATCGGAACAATTAGCATGAAATTATTTATAGAAGATGCCCAGACTAGCTACATTACGGCATTGGGAAAGTGACTAAAGCCAAAATGTCGTGGCAGGACAAATAGCAATGCTGATTCTTCTTTTTATTTTATCAAGAATCTCTAAATATATCGCAGGTGCACCAGACCAAATGTGGCAGTAACACTAAAAACAAAGATGGACGTTATACTTCTATATATTAATGTACAGATGTCTAGGAGGAAGTAAAATATTTAAGTCTGAAATAAGATCGGTACTAGTCAAGAAGGTCTAGACAGGATCATAATAGAAATGCTCTCAGCTTAAAATTAATAATAAATGAAATATTCAGCAATATTATTGGTCCTGACCTGGCATCACGGCTTCAGTTACTTTCCAGTTGCTGTAATTTAGATTTTCTATAAATAATTTCATGGTAATCTTTTGATGAACTCTTCGCTATGGTAACTGGACTTTATGAATTTAAGCGCAGTACTAGATTGACAAGATGATCTCATCATTTTACGTTCGTAGAACTCTCTTCCGAGTCCATACATTTCAGTCAAATTTGATCTTCAAACATTTAAATGAAATGAAATGTCACTCATTATCTACTGACTTGATTATTTTTCTATTGTTCTTGCTCCTTAATAATGTTTCCCCTTTTTTCTTATTCTTTCACATTCATTAACTCCTTATTTCTTAGTGACTTTACTGCCTTGAATGGGGTGAAATGATTAAAAATAGATAAATAAATACAACAGTGGTAATATATCGGAAATGTAGATCCATCTTTGTAGCCTTAACCAAGAAAATAGGTGAAATAAATGCGAGTTCCTCCGGGCGATCAGATTAATGAAGTATATAACAAAGTTAATAATCCGAATTCTAAATAGAGATCAATGAAGAATTAAGCCTGAGATAGGACAAGAGCAGCGTGCGTTGTTATCAAGAAAAACTGGAACAAGAGTTGCAATGTTTACGGTGAGAATTATGTCAGAGAGATAGAAATAAAAAAAACAGTAAGATGCACACATTTACATGGAAGCGATTGATAAATAACTGCAAAAGGATCTATTTGAACTGCTAGGAAAACGAGATCATTTTGCAGTGACTTATTTGCTTCTTGGAAAGGATGTTAGATTAATCTAAAACTTGTACTGGGAGTAAACTGTCTGCATACGGATAATGAACTGAGTAGCTATATAGAAATAGAAAGGGGCGTAACATGGCACTTTTCCACTCTAGACCATTCATGTGCTTTCGACAATTCGTTATAACATACTTTTCGTTATCACGTTTTCCTTTATTGCTCCCACACTTCTCAGGACTGCAATATATTAAACGAAATTTTTGACAGTATAGAAACGGCGTTCTCTCTATATTCATATACAAACATATTTGTCGTTGGTGATTTTTCATCACAAGTGGGAATGTTGCTGATATTGCCTGTATTGAGACTTTCAATTTCAGCCTTGTTCAGTCTCTTACTTAAATCGTGAATTTCCTTACTCGTTTCTATAATAAATCTGAGCAATATACTTCTTTACTTGGCTTGTTCCTTAACTATTCTACTAGCTGCTGTACCTGGTGTATGTACCTGATGGCATCCTCGCAATAGCATTTAAGAAATCTGTTCAGGAACTGGCTCATGTCCTCTATAAACTGTATAATAAATGCTTTATTGCCTTGAATACTAAAGAATTTTCTCAAAGATGAAGAGAAGACCGTAGGCAGCAGAAACGTGTTTCTTCAGAAGGATACTGATAATAAAATGGACTGAGCCTGTAAGGAACGAACAAGTGTTAAAGAGCATGAGACTAAAACAGACACGTATACTTAGAATCAGAAAGAGACGGTGGAAATTTATGGACAAAAATGGAAAAGGAAAGCTTGAAGATGAAGATTTGACAGTGACAAGACATACTGAAGATAAACAGGGTAGCGGGTAGCAGGCCAATGCCCTGGCGAGATTTTGTGTATGAATCGCAGAATGGGGAGCGAGTGGGATAGTAAAAAGGTAAACTTTACCAAGAGGAACAAAGGATAGGAACTTGTGGATACCTATGATTGCACAGTCCCAAAAGGAACTTGGGACCTCGGAAAGAAGACAGTAAAGCATTGATATTATAAGCAAATAAAAACACTTATTGACGTATGAAGAAATTGCTCACAAATTTGATCAGATCAGTGCTCTACTATTACAACCATGTGTCAGACTAAGCGAAAGGTAGATATAAGTACGCTCCATAGATAGATAATCAAAAGTCGAGAGAAAGATAGATATATAATGAAAATCCTTATTTATATATATATATATATATATATATATATATAGAGAGAGAGAGAGAGAGAGAGAGAAGCAGGATTGATAGATAGATAATGAACAGACTTAGCTAGCTAGCTAGATAATGTAAAGGCAAATATATATATATATGTGTGTGTGTGTGTATTTAGAGAGTGAGAGAGATAATGTAAAGACAGATATATATGTATGTAAATAGATAGATAGATAGATAGATAGATAGATAGATAGATAGATAGATTCACAGAGATCTAAATATCTAGGTTAGTAAGATAGCTAGACATATTGATAGACATTCAATCAGCCAGAATTCATTGAAACTCTCAGTTAGAGGGAGCAGGCATACAGAAATGACCCGAAACCATTAATTTCCTAGAAAAATTGACTTGAACAGATTTGGAAAGAAATATATGAACAGAGGATATATCCATAAAGCGATGGTCATATCGATCTATAGTATTTATTATCAAACATATAATCAGATAAAGTAACACTTGCACTTTTCTGTATCTTGTTAAATGAAACAAACAATCCTTTTTTCAGGAATTTTACTTTCGTTTCCAAACCTTGAACGCTTCCCCCTCGACATCTACTCAATTGATCCCAAGTCACTAAAATCGAACCCGGCATTTTGTTATCAATCTAACACTGCGTGGAATTTTGACCGACCTTTTATTTTTCCTTGCAGTACGAGTCTATCATCAGAAAACTATAAAAACATCATGGTTCTTTGCGTTAAATCAAAGATTTGACCATAAAAAGAGATGCATCTGTCGTATGACTTCTAATTGGTCAAGATCAAAAGACATTCAGACACGTATTTACCTATTTCCTTTGAATCTCAGTCGTTGGTTTTCCGTTCGACGTCGAAGCCAATTTCTTTGAATGTTAATAATTTATTAACATTGGCGCAAAGCAACATCTCTAATGTTATTTTTCAATCATTTGTGCATTGTTTTGCAAGGATCAAAATTCAGTCAGAATCACTTACATCCTCGTTGAGAAATCAACATTCTCGAAGAACTAATGATCTCTGTTCTGTATCTATAAATGTCAGGATTAACAGAATTGTCATGTTTTCATTTATTTCATTTAGTGTCTTTCAAAGACAAATCTACTTTGATGCAATGAAAATCAACACTCGCTACACTCACGAGTAAAGAATGATTAAATTATCCAAGTCTCTATTATTCTGTGACGAATTGCAACAAATTTAATTATCATGATCAACTTTAGTCTGCTAGTGCTAAAATTAGCCGTTTTCCCTCAAGAATCTTTCATTATTCCTTGACTGTCGACTGAATCATTTGCAAGAAACTAAACCTCAATTCATGCTACAGCGCTTTCTAATATTATCCGGATTTTCCTTGCAACATTTTTCTTTATGAACTTGTGCAGAGTTAACAGGTTGATGATATAATTTTCTCTTATTGTTTTAGGTCCTATGTTGCTGTTAAAAGAGATCAAATGATGAGTTTTTGTTATTTGGTAAAGTTCTTAATTCGCGATTCTGTAGCACCGATAATGAAGAGTTTAATGAAGAATTGTATACTTTAGAATCTGATCGTTACATTCACTTGAAGCCATTTCGAAAAATCTGATCTTCGAAACTGGTCTCATGATGATGGATTAGAGATATCAAAATGAATTTGAAGCGATGGTATCTACAAATATGAAAATCTAGATTTGAAGTTTTATAAAAACATAACTCGAATTTTCATTCTGGATTTTAACATCTTCAAATGCACGAAATTCTTTTGTGTTCATCTTCCCTGCTTTCTCTATTGCAACTGTCATAACATATCCAGAATCTAATATATTTAGTCTTTAGAATTTAACAATTAAACATCCTGAATTTTTTTTATGGAAGATTCATGGTAGGTATCATCACTACTTTCAATTACAGATTATGTTTTTGTATCAGAGATGATTTTCTGAAGTCCTATTTCTTTGAAGATGTGATAGAGCGTTGATGATTTTTGTTCAGCATCACACTTATGAACACCTATATCATCAGCATAGCGACCCTCATCGTCATAACTGTGGTCTCTAGTTAGAAAATAAGAACATTGTTTTCCATCACTTTAGGTAGACAAGCGTAGGTCTCCTAAGCATTGGCTTCTCTTCTATTGTTATTGTCATTGAAATACTATTGTTGAAAAATGATCCAACGCAATGTGACCAAACATTTGTATCTATAGTTTAGTCGAATACAGCAGTATAAGCGTAGAAGTAAATACCCCGTTTCCACCCCACAGATGAACAAAAATGGTAAATTTGTTCAATAAAGTGTTTTCTACTTTTATTGAATAACTTGAACAAACTTCCTGGACAGAAAATAATCCTTTTTTCCTCTCTGTCTCTCCGTGGATTTATTCATTTTTATAAGCCATTGTTTAATTATTATTATTTCTCTACTACGGATATTTTTGCAATATTTTTCAAAATATTTTATTTTTTAGAGCCACCCACTCTACACATTTATAGTTAAACACGCGAGTTGCACCAAATGTAATGCCTCTTATGTTATTTTGTTCACTGAAAACGTTAGGGAGTGACTTTTGCTAGTATTCTATCCATAGCCCACCCTGTTTTTACTTTGTTTCTGATAACAGTCTGGTAAAATGTTGTTTGAGATGAAAATGCTCACGAATCATAGGGATGTCATTGATTTCAGATATTCTAAAAAAATTAACATATTCGCATTCATTAACGCTTGTTGAACGTTTACAGAGACCAAAGAGGGTATGTGAGTATAGTTAGGCAGTGGGATATACATTTCACTGATGGAAACAATGATGTATATAACAAGACATTTTCTGGGTAGTTCTCTTCAGCTACCAACCCCAAAATCTTCATCACCTGTAAAAAAAAAATAGTATCACGAGTGGAGATTATGTTGAAATATACTGTTTCAGAATTCAAAAATTAAGCAATCAAATCACTTTAATTTGTTCCCTGAATCTTTTATGTTTTCAATGTAGAAGTCATTGCTGTCATAGCTTTCATAGCGTACCTTGTATTTATGAAACTATAATAAATAATGTTCTGTACAACAATAATTTCTTCTAATGTTGGCCGATCGTAGTAGAATGAATACTGACACGGTGTCAGCAAATAGAATTGGAATTTCATCCGCATATTCAAGAACGATAATTAGGTTACCCTCTGTTTCCCAATTCACCTCTTGCCTTCTGTATGCGTTGTGAGTTTCATACTCTGTAGCTCCTCTTTTCTCTTTATATGAACTAGAGATTTAATCAGTCTCTTTCTTATTCAAAATATGTTTACTTGCATTATCTACATTACTTAACACTTTCTCGCTGGAAGGATCCTATTTCTGAAATGTAATATCTTTCCTACATCTTTGAAAAGACTGTTAAGTATTCACTGCAGTTGTTACGTAGTAGGTCAGAATACTTTTGTTTTTGTTTCTAAGGAAATTTTCATGTCTTAAGACTTTGGAAAACATCGCTTTTTATTCCAATGCACTTTCGCACTTCAGTTTAACATTTTCTGTCATCCGTTACATCTCTTGTCAGAAAACAAATCAGTACCTACTTGAATCTGATTTCGATGTCCTCAATATATAGATCACAATTTGAGGAGTCTTTCTTTTTACTGACAAAAATGAATTTTGTCTTGTTACAGTTAGTAGTTTTTTTCTTATGTTTTTCTCTACGAATTTTTCACAGATTTCTTTTATATTTATTTCCGAGCCTGCTAAGAACACGGTCCTATGCCTCTTAGATGTTCAGATTATGTCTGCATAAAATAAATACTTTTAGGTTTTCTAGTTGTTTGCTATCATATCTTTGTGCAGGTAAAATAAATCTGATGAGAAAATACATGTTTAGTTTTACTCTTCTTTTTTTGTCTATTCACTGACCTCGTTTTTTTTTGGGGGGGTCGCATGCAGGTTGTTGTTTCTCCATAATTACAGATTAGACTAATATATTTCCTGGGTAAATCAAGTTTTTATAACATTTGAAGTAGGGTCTTTTTTATCATTTATTATTTTTTTTTATTTAATCGTTTCACTCAAGCAAGTCACCAAGACGCCAGTGATCACTGAGAGTGAAGGTGAATGAGGAGATTTTAGTGCAGGGAAAAGAAATAAAAGAACGGAATTCATGAACTCGGAATATCAAATTGCATTTAAATTTTCGAAAATTTTCTTTTCGCCAAAGAAGAAAGAAACTGGAAAAAAACTTCCACTAGCGAGAAGTGCGAGAAAGAGACTATTAAAATAGAACATACGGTTATATCTAGCTATTTCAACCGACCTAGCAAATGATTAAGTATAATCACTCGACTTCATGTCAGGGAATATCGTTAGACCAAGAAGGAGCAAAAAGTTGCTCTACTGAAGCCTAGCATGGGCCATGCCGATGGAGGACAAAAATGATTCATAGTTTTGGAAGCGTCAAAATTTACAAGCCCTTTCTATTCCCAGTTAACAACTGATTGGAAATCATTTTCGAGGGAACTGCTACTTTTAATTCCTCGGACATATTTACTATTACGACAGGAGTAAATAGCTGTTTTATCCACACAATTACCGATCCGGGAACTGATGTAATCAGAAAGGCAGTTGTTGAAGATAAGAAACAAGGTAGGTTAATATTCATATCCCTAGAGAAACCCAGCATTAATGTAAATCTATCTGTAAATGTGGCCGTTCAACACGACTTTCATAAGTGGATTTGTTAAGAAAGATTGAATTAGGTTAAATATGCGACCATAGATGTTTGGCTTGTGAAAAAAATCAACATGCCAACTCTCTTTCGAGATATCTAAAATCATAGCCTGAGCCTCGTCGTTCTTATCTAGAACATGATAGACAACTTCACTAATAAGTGTTAACCCATTGGCGATTGGCGAAGAGAAACGAAAGGCACATTGTTTATGTGATGGGAATGAAGTGGGAAGTGAGATTCTTAATCAATTTACTTTATCAAATATTTTTGAGTGATTTCTGAAATATGAGTACAGGTCTTTCTGTATTGTTAGTACAAACACCATAATTATAGGCTTTTTTGGGTCAACTAATCCTATTATTGCATTTCCGATAATAATGGGAACTAAATATTTAATCATTGGCGAAAAGTTTGCAAGTGTAGTTTACTGATGATATTTTTGTAAATATTTGATTTAAGACGATGATGAGAAAAATATCTTTGCCGACATTGTTCGAACTCATTTAAAAACAATTATTTTGAATATTGATTTTCAAAGTACGTTCTTCCCAGGTGAAAATATCCTTTTAACGTTATATCGCACCAGGCTTGTCATGATTAAACTGGTTACTGATGATTCAGAGATGATAAAGCCTGGACAATAACTATCAACCATGTTTTCCTGTAAATATTTGAATAAACAGAATTGGGACCAAATAAAGAAGACTGGCGCTCCGAGATTGGTTTGACTA